CGCTATAGACTTACCCCAAGAGGTCTGAGGATAGTAGTGCAGGCTCAGAATTGAATAAGTATTTTATGAAAGAGTGACCATTGTTTTCCCCTGAACTCAGTTGGATATTAGTACCAAAATATAAGAAATTGTCTTGACATTTTTTTCCTACAGGAAAAAATATCTTTCAAGAGCCTGTGAATATTCATGCTTTACTTCTCTTTTCATATACCCAGTTAGTTTGTAAACATATTTTTGATTTGTTGACTGATTAAGTGATTATTTTAGGTATTCTTTCCTTAGAATAACAAGAAAGGCTCTCCTCCTTCCTACAGCTATAGGACTCGTTATTATTACACAGAAGCCTAGAATGCAGCTGGGAATTCTTAATCCCAGGGTCATTAAATCCAGGTGTCTTGAACTCTTTGTAAGGTAGCTATAATGTTGAAAGACTGATGCTAAAACCATCAGTGTTGAAATTCAAGGAAAACTGACTCCTCTCTAGCTGTTCTAACTAGGTTACTGATCCAGTAACCAGAATTTTTTCTAATGTTACTGCTGGTGTGGTGTGGGCACAGACATGGCGGGGCTGTCATTCTTGTGTATTTGTGAACTGCTCTTACAGCAGACTGAATTCTGTGAGCCTGTTATGTTTTGGAAATCTTAATACAAATGGTCTAATTGAACTTATTCATGTTTTTATTTTTTAAAAGATTTGGAATAGCCGGGTGTGGTGGCACATACCTGTAGTCCCAGCACTTGGGAGGCAGAAGCAGGCAGATCTCTGTGAGTTCAAGGCCAGCCTGGTCTACATAATGAGTTCCAGGACAGCTCTGAGGCTACAGGGAGACCCTGCTTCAAAAAGACCGAAAAAAAAAAAAAGATTTGGAATAATAAATTCCACAATTATTTTTATTCCTCCTTAGCCCATCACTGCATGCTATGGGGTATTTGTAGCTACATGGTCACATTTTCATTAAACAACAGACAATAGCCACAGAATTTAAGAACAGAAAACAAGTCTGAAAGCTCTAGTATTTAGTATGTCAAATCTTTGGTGGCACAGAAAGGGTTGAGCATCCTTCTGGAAGACTTACTGAAGCAATGTAAGTGGAGTCTGTTCTTTTTAAAATGAATGTACTACTGGGAGAGCAAGCAGGTCCATTTGGCTGGAGGGACCATGGAAAGAAGTCATGAGTAGTGTTCATTTTTCTCAAAGCTCACTTTAGAGTTTACGTGGTATTATATAGTCTGTGAATTTTGATAAATATATATAATGACATATATTCACCTTTATACACTGCTTCAAAATCATGACCCTCTCTCTCTGACTTATAGGAAACTTTTCAGACTATTATGGTGATCTATTATCTAAAGGGCTTCATTAAAATGTTTTTAAAAGTGAGAAGATTGTCTAGGTAATATAGGTTATGATTAATGGCTGTGTACTTCAATTATACCACTAATTGACTTTGATGTGACTTTAAACTGACAGATTTTCCTTCTTTCCTCTCTCCCTTTGCCCTCCCCCTCTCATCCTGTCCCTTCCCTTCCTTTCTTTATCCTTTCTCTCCCCTCCCCTCCCCTTCCACTTCCTCTTCGACTTTATTTTCCCTCCCCTTCCTTCCCTTCCGTTTTTGGGATGCTAAGGATCAAACCCCAGGTCGTGTCCTATAAGGCAGACACTCTTATCACTGAGCTATTATTTTGTTGAAAATAGTTTTCTTACTGTAATATACTACCTGCTAAATTAAAAAATATAATCCTAAGTGAAAAATCACTAATAAACTGCCTATGTCTGGGCTAACATTTTAGCAGGCATTCTTTTTCTCTGCTATTTGTATGCATAAATTATTTTTACTTTTAAATTGAGGTATATGATGAAATTCTTTGTAATTCAATTTCGCTCTCTTATGTACTTTTAGAATGAGTGCTCCAGTTTCCTATTGCCTTTTGTTTCCATGGTTTTGTTGTTATTTCATGGGTTACAATGTTATAGTTGTGAAGTGTGAGGATATTGAATTTTCATTGCAGCCTTAACAGTCAAAGAATGGAGAATGGTGATGCCATTCAGTAGAAATAATTCTGAGCTGGCTCCGGGATCATTCTTTGTCAACTTAATCTGGTACCACTTGGTTGCCTGCTCTTGAGATTTACTGTTTAATCTCATTGTTCATTTGCAGAGTTTCATTTTGTTTTGTTTGTATTTTGAGACACGTTCTCAGGTAGCACAGGATGGCTTAAAAATATTTATTCATGGGAGCTAGAGAGATGGCTTAGCGGTTAAGAACACTGGTTGTGGGGCTGGGAAAAATGGCTCAGTGTTTAAGAGCACTGACTGTTCTTGCAGAGAAACCAGGTGCGATTCCCAGCACCCACATGGTGGATACGAACCGTTCTTAACTCCAGTACCAGGGGAATCCAAAGCCCTCTTCGGACCGCTACAGCATTTCACGAAACAGGAGCACTCACATACATGCAGGCAATACACTCATACACATAAAATAAAAAAAAATAAATAAATAAAATGTTTTTAAAAAAGTGGTTGTTCTTGCAGAAGACCCAAGTTCAAATCCCAGCACCAACATGGCGGCTAATAACCACCCATGACTCCAGTTCCAGGGGATCCAATACCCTCTTTTGACCTCTGCGGGCATTACATGACATGGTTTCACTTATGCCCAGGCAATACACATAAAATAAAATAACAAATAAAATATTTTTAAACAACTGGTCCTTGGGGTTAGAGAGGCGGTTCACAGGTTAAGGTCACTGGCTGCTCTTGCAAACAACCCAGGTTCAGTTCTCAGTATCCACATGGCAGCTAACAAACCATCCTTAACTCCAGTTCCAAGGGATCTGACTCCCTCTTCTGGCCACTGTGGGCATTACATGTGTGTGATGCGCTTATGTACATGCAGGCAACACACTCATACACATAAAACAATAAATAGGAGCTAGAGAGATGGCTCAGAGGTTAAGAACACTGACTGTTCTTGCAGAAGACCCAGGTTCGAATCCCAGCACCCACAAGGCAGCTAACAACTGTCCATAACTCTAGTTCCAGGAGTTCTGACAGCCTCTTCTGACCTCCATGGGCATTGAAGGATATGGGTGCACTTACCTACATGCAGGCAATACACACATACACATAAAAATAATAAATAAAATTTTTTAAAAGTTTAAAAAAATAAAAAATATTTATGTAGCTGAAGATGACCTTGAACTTCTCATTCTCCTGCCTCCACTTCCCTAATGTTGAGATTACAGACATATACCACCAAACCCAGCTCTTGAGATTCAGAGGATTAAAGTTTGGGCTTGATGCATGCTAGGCAAACACTATTATTTGAACGACTATTATTATATTGAGGCCCTCAGACATCATCTGCCTTTAAACTAGCATTTGTTCTAGTATTCTGTAACTGAGCACTTCCTAGCAAGTCAAGGCAAGTCAAGAATGTTACCACTAAGACTCTAAATTCTTTCATGAAATTTGGATCAATTTAGAGTAGCCTCTTTCTCTTTTGTGCTTCTAACTATATTTAAAAACTTGAATACATTTCAGCCTTTAGTTCCTATCACACCCAATAGTCTCTAAATTGTTTTGTAGGAAACATCTAGGTTATCCCTTTTGGACACAAGTGACCTGTATTTTGTTAGATCTAGATATACATGTTATTTGTTGTGCCTCCAGGATCTATAATATCTGTCACTTATCAGAGGCCCTATCAATGTAGTTTGCATGACTGATGGCTTGTAAAGTCCCCTGTTGCCTGAATGAGTGTTTGCCAATAGTAAACAATTTATTGTCAATTTAGCTAAGTTTTGGGAATTGGTTAAGAGGCTGAAGGGCAATAAGTTGAACTTGTACCATTTAAATGAATGGGGACTATGAACGGCAAGAAAATCAGTCATTCACTAGTAAAAACCAGGCGGCAGTGACAGACTGAACAGAGAAGCAATTTAATGTGAGTTTAAACAAAGGGACAAAACCTTCATTGATTCACAGAGGTATGAAAGCACAATGCTTGGAACAGAGCACGTTGCAGGAATACACAGCCTTTACTCCACACAATCCTATTCAGGTGTTGGGGGTAGGGTGGATTTACACACTCAACTGCTTCGCTGTCTTCACTGAAGCTACAGGAAAAAGTTAAACAGTATCTCAAGGTTGCACAGGTGGGGACTGGCACTTTAAAGATTCAAATTTGTTCCTGTCTGACCAGAAAGATATTAGGCTTTCTGTATACATTGTCCAAAAATGGCAAAAATAGCCTCAGAAAAATTGAGAAGAGACCTCTTTGGAAATATCTTTATCGTTCAAGTTGTTTCCCTGTCAAACAGGAAGACAGCTCTTGCGGAAACCATGTGAAGACATATTCACTGATCACTGCCAAGTTTTCTGCTTCTCATTCCTTTGTAGTTTATGGCCGCAAAATCTTTGCTTTCAGTGTCACTCATATGTTTGCAAGCCAGAATGCAGACTCTACTAACATTCATTTTGTGTTTCTCTGTGTGTGTGTATGTATGTGTGTGTGTGTGTGTATACATGTGTGTATGCTGGTGCATATATGTGTGCATTTACATGAGGAGGGTCGAGGACAATCTTGAATGTTGCTCTTCAGACACTATCTTTTTCTTTTTCTTTCTTTCTTTTTCTTTTTATTTGAGACAGGGCCTCTCATTGACCTAGTCCTTCCCAAATAGACCAGGCTAGCTGGCCACTCCCAGCTGTCTCCACCTCTAGTGCTGGGTTTACAAGCACTGCTTGGCTTTTTAAATGTGTTCTGGGGATCCAACTCAGGTCCTCATGCTTACAAAGCAAGCAGTTTATCAATTGAGCTATTTCCCCAGTGTGAAGCATTCAATTTTTGACAAAAGCTGTTTCTTGTTCTTTCTCTTTCAGTTTCCATGATGGGATTTGCTGGTTTTGTGGAAATTGCTTTCTTTCTCTGGGGTTAGTTGATGATTTCTGTTGCTTTCTTAGTATATTTGACACCCCCTTTATGCTATTACAGAATTATAGTAGAAGATGCAGTGGACTGGCAACCCCATGACAGAATTATCCTCGGCTCTTCTTCTTATGAGCCCCATGAAGCAGAGATTCTTACTGTGAAGGAAGTCAAGGGCCACCACATCCAAATCCATGAACGTCTTAAATACCGACACATTGGTAAGGCTTTGGTTTGCTGGTGAAAGGAAACAGATTCACCATGAAGGTTCTGCTCGACCGCCTGCTCAGGGATCTTGCATTTGATTGACATTAGAAACAAAAGGGTCCTACTTTATTGCTGCCCTGTTCTTGTCTTTACAACTTTGTCTCCTTCCTTCCCTCCCTCCCTCCCTCCCTCACTATTTTGCCCAGGCTGGTCTGGTTTATTTGAGACAAGGTACTCTTGCCTCAAACTCATGATCCTTCTTCCTTACCTCTTCAGTGCTGAGATTAGAGCTGTGTGTGTGTGTGTGTGTGTGTGCGTGTGTGTGTGTGTGTGTGTGTGTGGTGTGTTTGTGTGTGTGTGTACCTTATTGCTTATTTAATGTTTTTATTTCTTAATTTTTTTTTTACACAAATCCACTTTTCTTTATTTACATTCCATTAGTTTAAATCTGTGAGGGGTACAGCATCACTCGGATTCTGTGTCTAATGGCCTTTGCAGGAAGAGTGCTTTGGAATTTGGCATGAACCATGCCACTGTTTCCGTGCGCCCGGGTTACCTTTCCCCAGATCACTCTGGTTTTGTTTGGTTTGCCACCAGGAGTCACTGTGTTGTTTTTTGCTTTATACATGTAAGCACATCTCTTGCCTAAATGGAATTCGGTTTCATCTTGGGTATAAACACCTTCAATTTTAAGAAGAACTGTATGCGCTCATTGGTTCTGAAGACCTCTCTTGTAGCCAGCAAAAGTGGCCTTGCATCACAGCCTTCTAGACATATTTGCCTTTTACAAGTACTGTTCTCAGCAGGCCTTCACCAGCGCCAAGATGGCGGAAAGAGCTATTTCTTAATTTTTAAAATTTTATGTATATGAGTGTTTTTCCTGCATGTGTGTAAATGTACCACAGCCTACAATGCCTGCAGAAGTCCAGAAGAGGGTGTCAGATCCCCTGGAACTGAAGTTACAAATGTTTCTTAGCCACCATGTGAGTGCTGGGAAAGAGCAATGATCTTAATTGATGAGACATCTCTATAGCCCCTGTATTGTTTATTTTAAGTAATATTTACATGTGAAAGACATTTTAAAATTCATGATGGCAAGTCTAAGAGAAAGAGGGTGGAAAGTTTTCAAAAATCAGTGAATAGTTTGGAGGCTAAACTAGAATAAAACACTTGTACACTTAGTGTCACCCAGTCATTTCATGGCACATTGAATCTTACAGTCCCTTAAAATACACGTTTTTATAATCACTTTACATTGAAATATATCCATCTTCACACAAAATATATTTTATATATCAACTACTACTACTACTCATACTATGGTCAAAAAAAGGAACAGAAAAAAGAATGACTCCAGTACCTTCTTGTAAAAACAGGTAAATAAATAATTTACACTCATTATACAATAGTAATATACTGTATATAAATAGTACAATTAACAATAATAATCTTCCTGGCTTGTGTAATAAATAAATTTAATTCAGGAGGTAGAACAAATGACATGTACAAAATAAAAGAACTAGAGAATATTTTTTATATCTGATATATGGGAAGGAAGTACATATTTTAAACAACACTCTCTAGAGAATCCACAACGTGTGTCTATGGTTTATCTTTTCTGAAACATCACAGTGGATGATAGATCTCAGTTGCCTTGACCCTGGAACATAAAAGGAAGTCATCTGTATGACTGATGACAGTGCCATCATATATATGTACAGTGTGTCCTTGAAGGGGACTGGAAATAGGCTGCAATAATGTAGTCTCTCAGCAAGGCTGAGGAGGAGGAGGCATTAAGATATCCAAGAAGAAAAGTTACTTCTCAGTCATAGATTCAAGGATGATCCTCCCTCTGTCCGTCCATCTATTCATCCATCCATCCATCCCTATTTCTATCTCCTTCTGTCACTATTGTTGAGACTGAGTTTTTCTATGCTACTCAGGCAGGTCTTAAATCCCTCGGTTCCAGTTACCCTCTTGCCTCAGTCTACTGATTAGTTAGGGTTATAGGTATGTCACCATTTCTAGCTTGATTTTCTGTCTTAAAAAAAATGGCAGAGTAAAGAAAATCTTTCTCAACACTTTCAGTAGGAGCCATTGTAAAATATCAGTGGAAACAGGGAACTGACTGGGCTCTTCCTTCCCCCTTCTCTGGTTTAGGTGGTAGAGAGCAGAAAACTCAGCAGGAGAGAGGACTGTGCAGCTCGGCACTGTTCACTCCTATTCCTTTTACTCTCCAACACATGGTGTACACTGCCTCTGCCTCTTCTGTCCTGGGATTCCTTACTTTCATGATAGAGGCCTATGGACAATGTGCAAGCAAATGCCACAGCTTCACATTGATGCACTTAAGGAAGGAGGTTGGGGACCCCACTAATTGAACAGGTCTGCACTGAAGTCTCTTCACCAGTGGCCTTTCCTTGTACCCAGAGTTATTGAGAAGAAATGAATTCTTGCTCACATACTCCCTTTGATCCCAAAGAGGGACAAGTAAACAGGTTTTTCATTTCTCAGCTGACATTTGTGGAGTATGCCTGAGGAAAAGCTGACCTTCATGATGGGAGGACTTCTAACAGGCGAGAAACATTTTCATTTGTGAGATATGCTGGGTCTCCAGCTGGCATTTTCCAGAATAGCTTGTTAAAGGTTGTTTTCCCCTGACTGCCACTGCTCTAGGAAGTGCCCATGTCATGGAGGATGGTCAACACATTCCTTTGGCTGCTGAGGTTGGAGTTTTGACCAGAAACATTCAAATTCAGCCTGATATATCATGTAGAGGGAGACTCCTTGTGGGGTCCTTCAGGAAATCTACCAGAGAAGAGTTTTCAGGTAAGCAAAGTAATATTTTAAGTTACTAAGCATAACTAATTCTGGACTATTCATGTGGGAGCCTCAGAAATTCCTATTGTGAGAATTTTCACTATAATGAAAAGTGTTTGAATTAGGTGCTTTGAATTCCTTTGTGCTCCAGGAAGCTGTGAATTTTCAACTCTAATCTGTGCTTGATTATCAGCGTGAAGTTAAAATAATATATTAGTGATCATTGAATATGCATATTTTTACCCAAAAGAAAATACCTTCAGCAGATGTGAAATTTCTTCCACTTTGAAATGACAGATGATTTAATGACCATTCAAATCTTACCTTTCTTGAATTTCTATTACTTTTCCCCAGTAGCATGCAATATCTGATGACAGACATGAGCTCATGCTATAAATTAATATCAAAAATTTTAAATAAAGTCATTTCCATATTTTAGACAGCTTTAAGGATAAATTCAATATTTCTTAAGGATCAATTCAGTTATACTGTAGCCCTTTTAGAATCTTGGATAATTGTTTGGTGGAGACCTTATATTTCAAACTTATGATATGGAGATATTATTCCAAAGTTGCTCCCTAATTGAATAGTTTGGAAAATAATGTCAGGATAGCTCCATCTTTGAAAGTCACATGTGCGTAAACACAATAAAGGCTCAAAGAAGAGCTGGAATAAAAGGTTCTAATTATTTTTCCAGTACAATTGGCGTGGAATATTTTCTTGGCATCACTTTTACTTACTTGGAAAACTTGATATTCAGAACTTAAATCAGAAGTTCATGATTTATATTACATAGTAAAGCCTCTCTGTCAACAGCATTTAGCTTCATAAGTTCTTGCCTAAGATGGGTTTGCTCTTTGTGGGGACAGGTGATGGTAGCTGGGGACATTTTTACTTATCATGACTTGGGGGACCTCCTGGTATATAGTCAGTGGGTAATAAATTTACAAGACAGCAACAAAGATGAAAGGGATTTTTGGCTTACAGTAGCAATAATACTGAGGTTGAACAGAAAGAATGAAAGTGTGGTATCTGGTCTTGCAGAAAGGAGATGGAGGTTATGAAGATGGAACATCACAAAGGGAAGTGCATGATGGGGACCCAGTTAAGGGAAAGTAGGTCAAGATGGACCATGGTCACTGGAACAAGACAGAAGGCCAAATCTTACAGTTGAGTGTGAGGCCAGGTGAAATCAATACTGACCCAATACTAAACCTCTGATGCTGCTGAACTAGAGTGTTTATAGTCATCCCTTGGGAAAGGAAGGAGAAATTATATTAAATCCTTCTATAGAATGGAGCTATACTGGTTTTCATTGGTTATTGTACATGGAAGTAAAATGATATTAAACAATTTGAATCTATAAATAATAAATACATATAAAATATTAAAATATGATTAAAGCAATACTGATGTGATATGCTGCCTGAGAGGCTAAAAGCACCATTCATAACAGAAAATAAGCTATTGATGTATAAACTTGCATTTTCATTTGCTGCTGTGATAAGACACCATGGCCAAGGCAACTTATAGAAGGAAGAGTTTATTTGGGCTTACAGTTGCGGAGGGATAGGAGTCCATCACGGTAGAACGGCATGGTGGCAGAGGTGGCCTGAGCACTCACATCTCAGTCACACACAGTAAGGAGAGAGCACCTGGAAGTGGAGCAAGGCTATGAGCTCTCAAAGCCCGCCCCCAGCATCATGCATCCTCCAGCTAGCCCACTCCTAGTAAAGGTTCCATGACCCTCCCTGAACAGTGCCACCAACTGACCAAATGTTTAAATACTTGAACCTATGGTGGGGGGACAAGTCTTATTCAAACCAGTAGGTAATGTTCATGTCAAAGTTCTGCAGATGGCAAGCTCAACAGACCTTTCAACTGTGTGTTACTGGTAAGGAATAACAACGGACAAATAGATTTTTAATGTTTAACACTGGATGATTTCCACAACGTTTACTAGAGCTTCCTCAACCAGTGTCAGTTAGAATGCTTTCTTATGTTGGAATCCTGTTGTCTGATCCCAGGAGATGGACGGAGTCTTTCATTTTCTCCTTCTCATAAGGATTGTCTCCTTCATAGCAGTTGATTTTCAAGGGTTCTGGTTTACTATCCGTGAAAAAGCAGTGGCGAGTTGAAGGAATTAGGCTGGTCTACCTTTGAGCTTTAAATAAACTGACTAAAACACAGTGACATTCAAACTTCAAATGACCAGCTTCTTCCACTTTTTATTAAAGAAATAATTTCATACCTTTGTCAATGCCTCTAAAATCACAATAAAAAAATAGAAAACAACAACTAGAAAAGAATAAAAGAAAGAATGAGTGACCAAATCATCAAGTTGTAACCTTCCTACCAAAAGATATACCACTATGGACAGGCATGTTGCTGTTGCCTGATTATCCTACTCCAGTGTGAAGTTTTCCTCCTGCTAGTGTGCCTGCACATAATTCATAGCACAGCTTCTCATTCATATGCCCAAGTTCAAGTCTTAGCTTGTTAGTCTACCCCGTTTATGCCCCCATTTCCATATCAGCAAAATGTGGGTAATAATTGTACCTGACTCATAGATCTTTGTGAAAATGAAAATTTTGTGTGTGTGTGTGTGTGTGTTAGAGCAGAGCTTGATACATAATCACTGTCATATGAAAGTTGGATGTTACACTTATTTTAACCATTGTTTATTCATAACCTATAATCGTATTGCTATTTGTACCAGAACTAAGCACACTAATTACTAATAACCCAAAATTTAAATCAATGTGCTGACTGAATTTTATATTGTAGTAATAGTATCAACTTAAGAAAGTGCAGCTAAACATGTGATGTATACCTGTAATCCTAGCACTTTGGAGGGATACCCAGGATGATTGTGAGGTTGAAGCTCTGCTTCTTAAATCAAACAAACTGGGCATGGCAACTCAGACCTATATCTGAGCTACTCAGGAACCTGAAGAAGGAGGATCACAAGTTCCAGGTCTTCTTGGGCAACTTTTCTGTTTCAAAAAGTAAGAAGAAGTTCTTAAAGGGCACATCTAGTGATAGAATACTTGCCTAGTATGCACAGGGCTTTAGGACAAATAATTAGTATAATAAAACAAAACAATCAAACAAAAAATTTAGTAAGTGTAAAGCCCTCAATGAGACTTAATAGTGTATTATCCTCTCCATCAAGATGTAGGGAATTTCATTGTTATGAAAATAGAGCAGGAACATAGTGCAGTTATGATAAAATATGAAAAGGATTCATCAGGACTTTTGTTTTCCTTTTGTCCTGGGGATTGAACCTAAGACTTCATATATGCTAGGCAAGCACTTTGCCACTAAGCTCTATGGCAAGTCTCCTTTTTAATTTTTATTTTGGACAGCATCTCAGTGAATTGCCCAGGTTGTCATTGAATTCACTCTGTAGCACAGGCAGGCCTTGAACATATGATCCTCCTGCCTAAGCCTCCAAAGTTGCTGGGATTATCCGCCTATATCAAGGATCCCATTTCATGAATGATATTAATAGTATATGATGGCTTTTCTCATATTCAAGAAGCTCACAGGTGGGGTTGGAAAGATGACTCAGTAATGAAGAGCACGGACTGCTTTTGCAGAGGACACAGGTTCGATTTCCAGCACCCACATAGTGGCTAACTGTCTATAACTCCAGTTCCAGGCCATCTGACGCTTTCTTCTGACCTCCGTGAGCCTTGCACAACACAGGCGCACTTACACACATCTAGGCAATGCACTCATACACATGAACTAAAAGTAATAAATAAAATATTAAAGAAGAAGCGCACAGAAATATATTTCTGTATATAAGTGATAGTAAATTTTGCACTTTTCCTTTTCTTAGAAAATCTTTGCAGTGTTTTTTAGAGTTGTCTGTTCTAGTCACTCATATAGTATCTCTGTGGGAGCGGTTACAGCTTGCTTATATGGGGTCCTTGAGATGGAGGGAGACTTGATTTTGAGGCAATTGGCCAGGGATTCGCATTCCCTTTATTCTTATCCTGGTCCTGGACTCAGTTCCCTAACAAATGCAACTGATCTGTCACCTAGTTGTCCCCCGCTCTGTAGCCTTGCTCTTTCCTGTCTTTCATCTTTGCACTTCTCATGTGACATCTAATTCTAGTCTACACATGACAGGTTTGTAGGCAAGAATGTGATATTTACAGTGATTCTATTTTGTTGATAAGAATTATTGGTGTGAAATATAATTCTGGTATTAAGCATAAAGTAGTGCATTCTAACTAAATATGTGCATATTCTGATGCCCTGAAGTAGTGTATTTTGCATTTTATGGGGAATAAGAAGCTGAATACATACATTTTGTTTGTAGGTGTTCTTCAACTTCTAAATGTAGAAATTCAGAATTTGGGGTCCCCACTGTATTCATCCATTGAATTCACTGATGTGTCACCTGGATCCTGGATAATATCTTCTACTGTGCACCAAAGCTGTGGTGGTGGCATCCATGTATTCTCCAGGCATGGAATCATTTTGAATGACAACATAGTGTTTGGCACAAGTGGCCATGGCATTGATCTGGAGGGTCAGACCTATTCTCTCACTAATAACCTTGTCATGCTGACAATGCAGTCAGCAAGCTCATCTTCTTGGGTGGCAGGAATCAAAGTGAACTGCGCAGAGGATATCAACCTCCATGGCAATGTGGTGGCAGGATCAGAGAGACTCGGCTTTCACATACGTGGCCATGGGTGTTCCCCTGAAGCACTTTGGTCTGACAATGTGGTCCACTCATGCCTTCATGGGATTCATCTCTACAAAGAACGTGAACCTAACAACTGTACTGGTATATCTGGCTTTCTGGCTTTTAAGAACTTTGACTATGGTGCCATGGTACAAACAGAGAACAGTGTGACGATGCAGAACATCACTCTGGTGGACAATGTTATTGGTCTTTTGGCAATTGTATGTGTATCTTCTACTCTGCTGAGCTCCATTGGAAATGTGCAGATTGTGCTTAAGGATTCAGTGATTGTGGCCACTAGCTCCTCTTTTGACTGTATTCTAGACAGGAAGAAACCTCAGTCAGCCAATTTGACCTCAACTGATAGACCACCTTCCAACCCTAGGGGAGGTCGAGTTGGTATTCTGTGGCCTGTTTTCACCTCAGAACCAAATCGATGGCCTCAGGAGCCATGGCACAAAGTGAGGAGTGGCTATTCGGTTTCAGGAATCATAAAACTTCAAGGTAAGATTCTGGGGTTTATCCAAGAATGTGTTCATGTACTCAAGCACAGAATTTTTACTAGTATTCTGAAATTATATGGACAACAAGATCCAGTGGGGTCTAGAGCTTGCCTGTCCAAATGAAATCCTACTGTTATCGCAAACTACAATTGTGTTTTCAGGACAGCAGGTGATTACTTACAGAAATTTCTACTTTATACTTGCTGGAGAGACTTCATAGCAATTATTTAACTCAATTATATATGATAACTCTCTTGGATAGAAGTTTTTTTCCTGTAATACATGAAGTAACAGGGATGCAGAAATTGCCTCATCTGGTCGGGTATAAAGTCAAAGCTTGGCTGTAACTTGGGCAGTTCATTTTCTACCAGACAATTTCTGTAGATTTTTACTCATTCCCCATTTGATTAGCCTATCTGGCAGTTGGTTTGAATTTTATACAAAATGAATGGATTTTCATCCAAGCTTTAATAAAACTGTTCTTATAAAGATTATACTATATTGGAATCCTCTTCTTTTGCACACACAATACAATATCTATATATTGTTCAGATATTTTCTTACCAAGATTTATATATGCTCCCGAGATTATCTTGGATAGCTTAAGGTGACTCCCAGATGTACATTATTAAAAGAATATTTAGCTGTGCAATCTCTGTTCGTGGTTGGTGGGTCACATGGTTCAATGTTATGATATATTATTTAAATTTTCAGATGTCACCTTTGCTGGATTTGAAAAGAGTTGTTATAGTGATGATCTGGATGTCTGCATTCTGCCCAATGAAGCTAGCACTGGAATCATGTACCCCATTACAGCTGAGAGAACCAGAATGCTAAAGATGAAAGACAAGAACAAATTCTACTTTCCTTTATCACACCCAAGGTACAACTTTTAGTACTGATAATGCACCATATTTATGAAGTATTTTTTAATTCTTCAAATCCTCAGATATTCAGAACATAGAACATCATCTTGGAAATAGAAATAAATTCTTGTAGAATGGATTGTACATTGATTTAATGCCCCCAAATTTTAACCCTCCTGTATTCATGCATGATTTTTAAAACATTTCTCAGCAAGAGATCTACACTATTTTTCTCCCTCTCTTAAATCGGGACTTCTGACACTTTAGACTCTGACTTTCTTTGGCTTTGGAAAGGTTGGAAGTGATTCAGTGACAGTGTGATATTTTTATTTATTTATTTATTTATTTATTTATTTATTGTGAGAGAGATTTTGGAGATACTTTCAAAATCACTGAAATCGAATCAACCTCAGTCTTAATTGTGAAGCACAAGGTCCGTGGTCTTCAGAAAGAGGACAGGGAGGTGGGGTGTCTTATAATAGGAGGAGCAAGTAGGAGGAGATGGTATCCACAGCTAGAAACCCCCAAGCTCAACAATGAGACACAGACCAGGTGTATTGACATTCAGACCAGGTGTAGCTACTGCTCTTGGACATATGATTTGAGAGTTTTAGTCAAGGATCTGCAAACTAAACATGGAATCTCTTTGCCTTAAAGAGTAGAAAACTTGGTTTTCTGGTGAGAGCTGCTGTCCATGTCATCCTTCTGAGGAGAGAGACGTGATCCTCATGAAGCAGAGGAGGAGAAACACAAGAGCACTCTTTACCCAAGATCTACTCTGCCCATGTGCTTTTTTCTTGATGCCCATCATGAAATGAGAGTGTTGCTTTTTGCTTTCTCCACAGGAAAGGCTTAGAGAGAATGATCTGCCCTGAATCTGACTGTGAAAGTCCAAGAAAATATCTCTTCACAGATCTGGATGGGAGAACTCTGGGTCTGCCTCCACCAGTTTCTGTGTTTCCATATATGGAGGCAGAATGGGCTGGATCCTTCTTCCGCTCAGGTCAGTTATGCCTACCAGAGTGCCTGTGGGAGAGAGCAGGCAGGTGAAGGATCTGGGCGGCTCTCTTGGGCTGTGGGAACAAAATATATGAGACAGGAACAGAAGTTAGGGTTGGAGTCTGTGCTAATGGGCTACAAAATCACATGTATGGTGGCAATACGGAGTCATTAAGAGAAAGATAGGCCAAGTCATAAAAATGCCAATATGGATGGGGGAGGTAGGGAAGAAAAGCCACCCCTTACTGAGAAACGATTGACAAGTGACAGATGCTAGGAGAGGGACTATCAGTTTTCATTAACGTTGTGACACTAGATAGATTGACCAGGCTCCAGGTGATGAACCCATACCAAAAAGCATTTAGAAGAACACAAATTAGACTCAATAGGCCTTTAAAACATAATAATAGATACTGGAGAGATGGCTCAGCAGCCAAGAACATTGGCTGCTCTTGTGGAAGACTGAGTTTCAAATTCCAACATCCACATGGCAGCTAACAACCATCTGTAACTACAGTTCCAGGGGATCCAATGCCCTCTTCTGTCCTCTGAAGGCACTGCATGACATGGATGCACTTACATACATGCAGGTATAACACTCATATACATAAAAAAGCTATAAAAATAAAAATAAAGTACATGAAGTTGGGAAGGTAGAAAGGTGAGGGTAGAGATGGAGATGGGGAAGGAGTTCTGAATACGATCAAAATATGTTATAGGAAATTATCAAAGTATAAATAAAATATTTAAAAAAAAGACATGGTGTGACTATTGTGACCTTTATGGATATTCATGTCTCTATCAAATGTATAGACAGATGACCAGTCTTGAGCTCAGAGCACAGTGGGAGAAGGAATCCTCTCATTCACCGGAGCCTCACACAAGGACATCTGTCAATCAGCTTCTAAATCTTTCTTTTCTTTTAGAACACAAACCTCACTCTGGAGGTGGTACAGTAAGTGCCATGAGGTTTGTCTCCCTAGCCTTCAACTGTCCCTCAAACTGTGCTGTGATCAAAACCCCTTCCTCCTATTTTTCTTTTCTTGCTTTTACAACCATAGCACCTTTGCATATTGGTTTCTGTAGCTGGGTCCTGGAGACATATTTCTTCTATCAGGAACATTGAATTCCCATTTGAACTGAGTTTGAATCTGTTTCAGGCAAACCTAAAGAATGCTTTGTGCTCTCTCTTCTTTTCAGATTCTTTTCTGGTCTCCCTTCTGAATGTATGACAGTCCTGTGACTAGATCCTCAGATGCTTTTCCTTCTTTCAAAAGGACCAAAATTGAAACACTACTCAATGCTATTTATGACTTGCAGTTTCTATCACTAGCTCAGGCTTGACCTTGAAATTTGTTCTGAATATCCAGCTGACTCTTCTGAGAAATATAGGCATCGTAGACTCAACACACCTCATATTCAATCAAGATCCCTATTGATCTTGCTTCTTCCATTTCTATATTCAACAATCTATTTTTTACTTAGTAGCTAGAATGATCATTTGAACTTCGTGGATTTTTACCTCCTCGGAAACAAACTCAAACCACAAACTTACCCCATGTATTTAGTTCCTAGCTGCTTTTCTGTACCTCCTGCAATTCCCATTTTGTGTGCCCATCTTTGTCTTTTACATTTAACACAGAAATTTTATCCTTACCGAGGACCCTTGGACAAACTACTTCCTGTGCTTGGAATATTTCATCAATAATTTGTTCATATAATAGACTTCTTTGGGAAGACATCCTTGATCTGTCATTTTAAATAAACTTGTGTAGGGACTTGGGATGCAGCTCAGATGGTAGAGTGCTTGTTCAGAATGCAAGAACCCCTAGGTTCAATCCTTAGTGCCATATAAACTGGGCATACACCACATAAATTGTAGGTGATGGTGGACACCTAAAATCAATTCAAAGTCATACTCAAAGTGAGCTCAAGACCAACTTGATACATAAGACCCTGTCTCAGAAAAATGTGCTTTTTTTTCTAGTCCTAGTATACTTGCTTAATTTTTTCCCCAGAGGTCTACCATGTGAACTATAAATGCAATTGCTTATTAGTTGATTTACCATTTGTCCCTTTAGAATACTAACTTGATGAGGGTTGGCACTTTGTCCTGCTCACTGATGTATATTTGGGAGGATGCTCAACAAACACTGGTTGCCTGGATCATTATATGAATGTTTTATGGATAACCAGAAAGAATATTAATGTAGTTTGCTCAAAACTATTCAAGAGAATGAAGAAGAATGGAGAATGGAGGCTCTCATGTTAGTAGTTCCATATCATATGAAAGCCTTGATTACAGCTAGTTCAGAGCTGTTGTGTATTAGTTTCTGTTTGTGCTTTCTGTTGAGACAGGGTATTGTTTTATAGCCTGGAAAGCCATGAACTTGCTATGTAGTCCAGGCTGGCTTTGAGCTTGCTGTGTAGCTCAGGCTAACCTTCAACTTGGTCCCTCCTGTGTCAGCCTCTTGTGTCCTGGTGTTACTCGTGTATACCACTATGCATGGCTTAGGAATGTTTGTATTTTTTTCTACTTTTTTTTTTCCATCTGAGCTATTGTGATAGTATAACATTTGGAAATTGGAACTTTTTATGCATATAATTGTTTTAAGTACCATAAGATATCATATTTGAATAGGTATTGTATATTCATCTTACATTTTTCCATATGCTGAAATCTTAGCATTACAATAGAGTGACAAGGTGAGGGGCTAGAGTCAAGGTTTTAATGTCATACTGAGTGCATACAAATGTTGAGTAAATACTCATCCTGATAATATTGTTCATATTTGTTGACTAGAAACAGAAAACTCATCATTGACAAGAGAATGAAATATGTATTATATATTCATATATGTTTATGTGTATGTGTGAAGGAGAGAGTAAAGAGAATTAATATGAGGAGAAGTAAAGGAAAATATAAGAAGGGTAGTATGATAGTTGTATTAATTCAACTTGACAGAATCTAGCATCTCCTGTAATGGCCTTTGGGCATGCCTGGGAGGAATTGTTTTGATTACATTAATTTATGTAAGAAGATGCATTTTAATTGTGGGCAGTTCTTCTCCCTGGGCAGAAGATTCTGGAGTGTGTAAAGTGGAGAAAATGGGTTAAACAGTTGAAAGAACGCATGCATTCATCTCTTTCTGCTTCTGCTGCAGTGTCACAGCTGTTTCAAGTCCCCCCTGCCTTGACTTCCTTGTCAGAATGGACTATACTTTGAACTGTTAGGTGAAATAAACCCTTTCTTTCTTAAATTACTTTTGTCTGTGTATTTTTTCACAGACAGCAATAGGAAATGGAACTAAGACAGATATGTAACTAAAATTCCATCTATCCCTAGATTAACTCAAATCGTTTTCTATAGTTTTCTTGTTGTTTCAAGAATTATTTCACTACTACAGATGTTTATATTATAGGGAAAATAATCTCATATTTTAAAACAGTCCATGGATAATTCAGGAGATTTTGGAAAGTTAGATTTTGACAAGGCTCATGTTTCTGTTTGTTAATACCATGGGTAGGTGATCCACAGTGCTGAATGCAAATTGCGTTCATCCTAATAGAAAAGGAGAAGGCCTAAAAAGAGTGTCTTAGTTTGGATTGACTCAGAAGCACACTTTGATACAACTCTTAGAGTCAGTTAGTTTATGTAATAGTTGACTGCAGAAAACACTAGTAGAAAAGTAGGAAGGAAGAGAGATGAGAAAGAAAGAAGCCAGTAAAGATGAGCTATCATTTTGGAAGCTGGTGCCCAGCTCTAAAGGGGACTCCAGGAAGCTGTACATCCAAATGACCACAACCATGCCCCTAAGGAACTAACATAAATATCTGATATCCTCATTCTCCATGGACTGAAAGATACTTCAGCATAGGGTAACTTTCCAGCCTGTTGGCTTTCCATGAACACAAGCTGTGTGTGCTCCTTCACATGGCCAGAAAACATTTCTCATGTGGATGTCACAGGTCTTGCCAATAGTTTTCTTTGGTGTATGGAGATGAGTGCCAAAGGCATGTGGTGTGGTAAGTACTTGTTGCCAATAGATCTCTAAGATCTCAATAAAATGTTTCATGTTTAAATTATTAGATCATTCTTTGGATGAGTTTATAGGTGGTTGCTTACAATGTGGTATGATACATTATTCAGGTGTAAATATATTCTTGCTAAAGATTGTAGGGCTGTTCTCTTTGATTTTTTTCAGCTTCCTGCTTTGTCTACGAAGCATAATTCAGTGTTGTAGATTGTAGCATTATGCAACACTTATTGTCATTGTGTGGGCAAATCTATGTATGTGAGTACATGAAACTATATGTAGATGTGGATGTCACTGACTGCCCTAACTCCACATGCTTTACAGCATTTTAAAATTTTAAATGAAGTTGCTGTGGGTGCCAAAATTCTCACAGTGGAATCTGCTGTTTACTGCACTAAAAATAAAAAGTCCATGACCCTTGCACAGACAACACATAGTAAAGGGCGCCTTATGAGAGCTAATAGGATTACAGTGTTCCTTGGCTTCCAAATATCTCCCTCCCTAATGCAAATCTTTTTTATTTTTAAAATCATTCTTTCCTAACTACTTTCTATCCTTATCTCCAATCTGGTGGATGAGAGAAGCACAGATTTAATCTTAAGAGAATGAATGTCTGTTTTGCATTTTCCATATGGTCCTCTGTAAACTAGTAAAGGCAATGCAGTTAAGACGAAAGGGAAGGCCGCTAGAACCAAGTCTTGTATTTATTCTCAATGTTACCATGTTTGACGCACCCTCATATCATTTCTCAATTTTATTAACAAACCTCTCCAAGCCATTTTGAATCCATTGCCTCTAAGGTTTATTTTTAATTTGCAGAATAACAGATCTTTTTTGAACTTATTAGTTCACATTAAAAACTCCTCAATCACACATCCACAATTCCCTACATACTGTCAAATACTCTGGAATCAGGAGCAAAAACCATCCATGTGGATCAGTGAGTAGAAATGCGGTGCCAGTGGGT